TTTGATCAAATATGTAAAACATGTCCGTAGCACGTTAAACTGTGGTGCCATTGTATTAATATACAATTATTTGCTCAAAAGTTGCCCTTTTTTTCCAATTTGCGTTTGAATATCTACATTTATTCTCATTCTTCTGTTTAATGGAATGCACAAACACAGCAGCGTGACATCAAAGATGGCGTCTCCGAGGAGGTCATGTGACATTCATTGGTCTGTGGGAACTATGTATAGAAAGACTGTGTAGAGCAGCGTGAGGATAAAAATGGTATACTTGCTTATTAATTATGCTAAAGCTAGTGGTTTTATGAAAGCTTCTATATTATGCTACAGTTAGAGATTTTATACTTGCTTCTTCATTATGCTTAAGGTAGAGATTTTAGGCTAGCTTCTATATTATGCTAAAGCTTAAGATTTTATACATGATTCTATATTATGCTAAAGCTAGAGAAATTATACTTACATATTTTATCATGCTAAAGCTAGTGGTTTTTTTTTATTATGCTAAAGCTAGTTATTTCATACTTGCTTTTTATCATGCGAAAGTTAGCGATTTCATACTTGCTTCTATATTACACTAAAGCTAAAGATTTTAAACATACTTCTGTATTATGCTAAAGCTAGTGATTTTATACATGCTTCTTTATTATGCTAACGTTAGACATTTCAGACTTGCTTCTTTATTATGCCAAAGGTAGAGACTTTATGCTAGCTTTTTTATTATGCTAAAGCTTAATATTTTATATCTGCTTCTGTATTATGCTATGTTTTTTTTTGTTTCAGTATAGAGTTATTGTTTGATTATCTTGTGCTGTGTGCTCCTCATTCCCACTGTTGCAACACTGACATTTCCCCGCTGTGGGACGACTAAAGGATCTCTTCATCTTAAACATGTTAATTTGAGGTGCCCGACGGTGCCAACATGGCCTTCCCCGATCCTCACCACACAAAGCCACATCAGAGACACCAGCATCACTTTCTGTCTCCAGTCTCTCCCCCTTCGACCGTTTCAGAAAGACAAGACTACCTTCAACGCCTCGCATCTGTTCCACACAAACTGTAAATGTCGCTGCTCCGACCACAAACCTGAAACTCACTCATAGACCATACTCTCTCTGCCCACACTGACAACAAATCGGAACGGGAACGTTGGAAACGAGAGGTGAAAGTTACTGTTGAGTTCACTTCAGCTGCAGCAAATGTCGTATACCGTAGATATCTTTCCGAGATTGACAACTAGGGTTACCAACTTTAGAACAAAAAAATAAGGGACACCATTTGGGTGGATCGGGTTGAGCACTTTTTAGTCCTAATTTCAGTCTACACAGCAATCATGGAATTTCAGAATCACAGTTTTTAGAATGGAATCTATTGACTACATGTAAAAAAACAAATCCTTAGTCAAAAATGAAATTGAATAAATAGGTGGAACTGACTGGTTAAGGACTTAATGCATTTTTATTAGTAATAAATATAAAAAAGACAAATGCTGTAACGTACATTATTTATGAATGTTACAGTAAAGACCATTTACTGTAAAAGCAAATAAAAAAAGAAAAACATATGTATTCATTAAAAAAACAGTTAGATATTAGGGCTGGGCGATTAATCGATTTTAATCATTAATTCGAGTTTTACGTTTAGAGCGATTTCTTTTTTTAAAAATTCGATTTTTATTTTCTCCAGCGCAGAACTACAGCGCTAACGCGCTAACCGCGGGTCTATGGTGTTGAGCAGTCATTTTGAAGCTAACCTAATGCTAACAGTCTCCCTCTGGCCTGATGCTCGCTCTCACAGTTGGTGCTGTTGCAATAACACTTCAAACGTTCAAGAATCAGACTTTATTTAAATCGCCAGAACACACACACACACGCACGCAGGCTCCGGTCGCTATGTTCGTACGCCATGTTCGTACGCCACATCTTTCACGCTCTCTCACGCTCGTTATTCCAAAGCACACTCCCGTGTCCGTGGCGCGCACACACTCGTGTCCCACTGAGCCGCTGCACTTTGGGGAAAGACACGTCTCACACATTGCTCTCATTGCTCTGATACAAACAACGTGTTCCCCGCTGTCTGTTAGCTACAGTAGCTGCTACAGTAGCTGTTAGCTACAGTAGCTGCTACAGTAGCTGTTAGCTACAGTAGCTGCTACAGTAGCTGTTAGCTACAGTAGCTGTTAGCTACAGTAGCTGTTAGCTACAGTAGCTGCTACAGTAGCTGTTAGCTACAGTAGCTGCTACAGTAGCTGTTAGCTACAGTAGCTGCTAAAGTAGCTGTTAGCTACAGTAGCTGCTACAGTAGCTGTTAGCTACAGTAGCTGCTACAGTAGCTGTTAGCTACAGTAGCTGCTACAGTAGCTGTTAGCTACAGTAGCTGTTAGCTACAGTAGCTGTTAGCTACAGTAGCTGCTAAAGTAGCTGTTAGCTACAGTAGCTGCTACAGTAGCTGTTAGCTACAGTAGCTGCTAAAGTAGCTGTTAGCTACAGTAGCTGCTACAGTAGCTGTTAGCTACAGTAGCTGCTACAGTAGCTGTTAGCTACAGTAGCTTCTACAGTAGCTGTTAGCTACAGTAGCTGCTACAGTAGCTGTTAGCTACAGTAGCTTCTACAGTAGCTGTTAGCTACAGTAGCTGTTAGCTACAGTAGCTGTTAGCTACAGTAGCTGCTACAGTAGCTGCTACAGTAGCTGCTACAGTAGCTGTTAGCTACAGTAGCTGCTAGCTACAGTAGCTGTTAGCTACAGTAGCTGCTACAGTAGCTGTTAGCTACAGCATCAGAATGTAAACAGGAAGCTCGCACAATGCGGGAGTCACTGAAGTTAGTATTAGCGCCACCAGCTGGACCGAGCGTTGTACTACAGCACAGTTACTCAGGCACAGTTGAAAGAACAAGCATAAAAACCCGAGGAGGCTTTTGGAAAAGACTGTCTGTTACAACATTTCTACTTTGAGTAATCAGTTTTAAAAATGTGATATTTCATGTAAATAATGCATGTGTTTAATAGGATTGATATATTTGCGATGGGCCTTGTTTGTGTGATTTAAGTTATTTTGAAGGTGCATAGTGTCATTGTAAGTGAAGTTATTATAAAACTGTTAAGCTACATTTTCACTGTTTACAATGGCAGAGCCATCTTGTTTACAAGCATGTTTTAAGGCTTAATTCCTGTTACACTTATGCTCCATGGGGATTTAGATTAAACTGCATAAAGGAAATTCTATTTCTTTGTCAGTTGTAGTTTGTTTTTAAATAGAAAAAAATAAATCGATTAAAATCGAAAATCGGATTTGGTGTGAAAAAATGAGATTTTTTTTTTTTGCCATATCGCCCAGCCCTATTAGATATGGTCATTATTTATATTGTCTGAGAGTTTAGTGCGTGTACATGGCTTCAGTAAAAGCTATTGTTCGTTTACAAAGCTGGTATTGACATTTGTTGACGCTCCCTAAGTGCTTTTCTCGGCGCTTGCAGTTCATTGGATTTGAAAAATCATCGTAGAGATGATCATTTTAGCACAATTACTTTTGTTCAACAAAGTAGCTTTCGTGAACTATTGACTGCGGAAGTCCGAATCTGGGAATATGACGCTACTTTACCAAACCTGCTGTGATGCAGCGGGCACGGCCCACGCTGGCGATTGTCAACATTAAACCAATGTATGTGATGAAGCCTACGCCCCTTTGACTCTGATTGGCCGAAAGGTAGACGCTTAAACTGTGATTACTTTGTCTGTGATTACTGACTATTGCCAATAACAAGTCTGTTTGCTTACACTGTAAACCTTTCTTTGTCAGACAATGGGGGAAATGTGAGTCATTGTTAAAGATAAACACAGATAAAGTCACAATGACCCACTGGTTTAGTTTCTCTTTTCCTTGTGAAGAAAGTCTTGAGGAACAGAGGCAAACAAGAAGAGGAAGAATGAATGATTACGAAAAATTGTCTTCCTTATTTTAGTAATCTATAGAAGCAAGTCACCCCAACGGAGGCAGTAAAATGCACAACATCAAATACGTGAGGTCAGGTAAAGTAAACGTATAATCACTGCTTATGAAAGAAATGTCATATTATTCTAATCTGACTGACAAGGATTGTGATTTTTTCTAGTTTAATGATGGCCGTGACATCCGAAAGAAATGCAGTTGTTGTTAGATGTGGAAAAGGCCCTGCAGTTACAAAGACATTCCCATAAACTAGGTGAAAACTCTGGATTTGGCAAGAGCTCTGGTGTGTCCTATCTGCTCTGTCTGGTGCACACTGAGGTATACGCTTATGGCTTTACTGCAAATGGCAAATAAACTGAATCTGAATCAAAACATCTGCATTTTGACAGTTTGAGAGATGATCTAAAGCTACTGTCTGATCCTTAGGTAGGTCTTTGTTTATCATCACTAATGAGTCAGTAGAGTTTCTAACATTGTTCCAAAAACCCAGAGGCACAAGTATCAAAGTTTTATAATTGTATCTGCCTGTCCCCGTCCATCAGATAATTGCCATAACAAAAACCAGAGGCCGCATCTTGAGCCGTAATAAAGTTCAGGCAGCGTGACGTACAACTGGTCTAGACCAAGATCTCATCTCAGTAAAACACAAGGCTGCTTTTGGGAAATGACCCCATAAAAAGCTCCATTAGTCCATATGCCACATCCACCTGCGCCTTTCATACTGCTCTTGTAATAAAGTATTGTATTGTCACTGGTTAATAAAGGCAGGTATGATTCAACACATGTGTGTTCTACTAAGTTACAGACGCAATTAACTATGTTGCTTCATTGTTTCCTGGATTCAGGTCTAAAAACAAAGACAGCATTGTTGTCTGCAAATGTGACTTTACGTAACTTTATGTTCTTGCTGACTTGACTGTTGTAACTTGATCATATTAATGACATATTGTAAGTCATATCTGTGAGTCAGTCACTGTAACTCAGAGGAAAGAATGACTCGAGACCCAATCTCAACATGTGGCTAAGTCAAATCAAACACATTCACAGTTTCAGGCACTCACCCGCAGTCTGGAGCAGGGCACCAGCGGCAGTCGGGGTCCGAGGCGAGGCACCTTCGCAGCAGAAACTCCTCGTACTTGTCCAGGAGGACGGCGTCATCCAGGATGTCGGCCACCTGCCGCGGGAGCAGGCGCTCGGAGCACTCGGGGCAGCTGAGCTGCACACGGCTCTCGGTGATCTCGATGCGGAGATACTGCCGCAGGCAACAGAGGCACGAGCGGTGGCTGCAGCCCAGCAGCTCAGGCATCTGCTCTGGAGGCTGCTTCACCAGGCACAGGGGGCACTCCAGCAGAGACTCAGACTCAGACTGAGGCTCACAGACCGGAGGCTCACACTGAGGCGGAAGGCTACACAGACCAGAGTCCTGCACTGAGGGAGAGGGCACTGAGGCAGGCTCCTGTGGAGAGGCCAGGGCAGAGGGCAGCAGAGGCACAGGGGCCGCGGGGGCCCCTTTAGGAGCTCGGCCCCGAGAGCGTTTACTGTGGAACAGGCTGTGGAATGAGATCCGGCCCTGACGTTTACATTTGGGGTTTGGGACAGCACTCACTGAGGAGTGGGGGGAGTCCGAGTCCTTCTCTGAGCCCATGTTTATGGTCCTGCAGTTTATGTGTGACAGAAAGACAAACACACTTAAACACACAGAGACCTGTGGCTCCAGCAGCAGAAGGAAATCTGGTTTAAGAACTGTCTTCTTCCTCTTCACAGAAACGGCCTCAGATGAAGATAGCAATTGCAAAAGTTCAAAGTTCCAGAAATCCCCTCCGCTGCGTGGGCTGGTGTCAGACGCTGCTCAAATTATTCAAACACATGAAAAAAAATCCAAGGCTTGTGTTTCCAAAGGCAGACGAGGTCAAACATGACGTCTCTTTGTTCTGTCAAACCACAAACACAGTTTACTGAAGAAATCACTTTGAACAGAGAATCCAGCTGTTGGTGCTTCCTCGTCTTCAGCAGCACAGTGTGTGAGGCGTGAGACGCCGGGCTCAGGCTCCTCAGAGGAAGTCACTCACTGAGCATGCTCAGAACCTCCTCCCTCTGCTCTGGTGACATCATCTTTAACTCCTCTGCTCCTGGGCACAAGAAACAACAAGTGATATTAGCAAAACTAACACTATTCACAGGACTGCAAACAGGGAAGGGAATCACTCATTATGACAATATTATATTTATACATTAGACCCAATTGAAGCTAAAGTGAAACTGACTTTTCCACATTGTGGGAGAAATAAAGGATCTCTTAATTTGTATCTTCATTAAAGCATTATTTTAAAGTAAATAGTTATTTTTTAAAATCATTCAGTTGCAATTAATCAATGAACTTGCAGCCTTAGACTTGCTCTCAATTTAGTTTGGAAACAAACAGCATAAATCAAATACTTAAATAATGAATAATAATAATGACCTTCAACCACAATCCACTGTGAACAGCGACAATATGTATCTTCATGTTAGCACATTTTGACTGCCTTATGCCTTGGGACAAGCAGAATTATCTTTTTAAAAAGATACAAGAAATGTCTCCCTTGGACTGAGAAAATGAAGCAACAGTTCTTGAACTAATACTAAAGTCTCTCTGTAATTCTCACCTCATATTTCATGATTTTGGCAGAATCCTGACTATACAGTGGCTGCTAAGAGCATGAAGTCTCCCACATGTTGAAGCCTGACTTCCCTAATGTCAGTGTTGGCTCCGGAGCAAAAACCATCAGATAATTATTGGCTCTTCGGAGTGCGTTCTGTGTAATTATCAGCGCGTACACGACGCACGGCTCTCACTGCTCCAGCCTCAGATTTACACTTCAGAACAGCGGCGGCCATGTTTCTCAGTCTGATCCCTTTGTTTGTGTTTTGATTAAACCGGGAGTGCTTTGTGTTTAAGTGGTGGAAGAGTGGGCTGGCGTCATGGAGAGGGTTACCGCGGCAACGGCACCGACCACGCGGCGGGAGGAAGGAACACGGCGAGAGAGAGAGAGAGAGGGAGGCTGAGGTTTAGGCAGGAGTATTGATGAAGCCCGATGTGATGATTAATACATTGAATTTAATGTATAAAGACTGGATCAAGACTAACAGTTGCTATTTGTGAACAGCAAAAAGGAAAGAATAAGTCACTTTGGAAAAACAGAAAGAATGCACCCCTTTGATAAACTACTACTGTAGCCACAGCTGCCCTGGGGCACACTGACAGAAGCAAAGTAACCAGTATGTCCAATCAGCCCCTCCGACCACCACCAACCATTCACACACACACACCAGATTCATTCAAGGCAATGTGGGGGAAGTGTCTTGCCTATGGACACAACAATAGTTTGGCACTTTACAGCCGCACCACTGTGGCACTAGAGATCTCCCATCACTGTACTAACCAGGCCCTGCCCTGCTTAACTAAAGAGGTCTGCTGGAATCTGGCTTTGACATTTAGCTAAGGCCACAACAATAATATTATGTCATTGAAATGTCTAGTGTTTCTCCTTCATTCTAAACCTAACTTTAACTCAATAAGCTTGTGTCTTGTGTTTTATCTCAGTGAAAGACACTCTTTTGTACTCGCCCAAGCACACACAAGCATGAAACACCCAAATAAATCCAAGAGTTATTTAAAAGCAGAAAGCGGATGGGGTCTGTGCTCTACGAGGGCTGTTCGAATTGGGTTTGCGTGAAAGTCAACATAACTTAAAGATTTGAAAATGTGTTTGTCTTCACTGCTCTGCATCAGATGAAACAGAAGTACTGACCCTGACTCTGCGCAGAGGCAAGACAAGGTTCAGGTGATTGACAGGCGAATCGACCAATCACAGAGCAGCGTTTCAATCCCCCAGTCTGAATCAAAAAACAGTAGATTATGTTTCTATGGACCGTATTGTATTGTGTCCTTGATAAAGATGAATAATAATAATAATAAAATGTTTCTATGTTCTTTGTGCCAACTCGTTTGCCACATTCTGGAACACAGTCTCCAGACAAGGAACATTTTAGGATTCTGAGGTGAACACAAACATAAAACAAGTAGCTCCTTGATCATGTGTTGAGAACTTCACACAAACTCTCTCCAGCTCATCTGAGGGAATCCCACTGGGCTCCAATCCCAGGACTCAGCCGAGGGACCCTCCAGTCTGTCCTAGGTCTTTCCCGAGGTCGCAGTGGGACATGTCCAACTGTTTTATTCCACGTACAGCATGTATATCAGAAGCTCCATGCGACAACATCACATAATAAAATCTGAAAACGACCAATTGTGGACTTTAACATCCTCCTCCTTAAAATCTCATGTCACATTTAACTCTGCAGCGTCCCCCGCACCATCTGGAACGGGATCACGCCGACTCTCTGTGTACTGGTTATGAAACGCTCCCGCTTGAGAATTGTCTTGCAGTGCCTTAACTTCTCTTTTAATGATTACAATGATTTTAATGTATTTTATTGTCTTTTTGTTTTGTATCTTTTAACTCTATCCTATGTTTGTATGATTGCGAGCAAGGGACCAATGCACAATTTCCTTTGGGTTCAATAAAGTATCTATCTATCTATCTATCTATCTATATCTGAAACAATCTGCTACTCACTGTATGAAAAGGACAAGACAAAACTGTATATGATTTCCATAAACTCGACTCAGACTCAGATACTGTTATTTTGTTGTTTCTTGCAAGATAAACTGCCATAAAAAACCAAAAACATTTGAAGCTATTTTATAATAATTTTGGAAGTGAAAAATACTTACATATACACATAATACATATACATACACATAATATAATACTTATCAGTTCATCTGTTTCCTTTTGAATGCGCTGGAAAACGGCAGCAAGTCCTAAGTAGCTCTGAAACACTTGTTGTTTTGTGCTTTTAAAAAAAATCTTCTTGCTTTTTTCTACTTGAGATGTTGTTGCAGTGCAGTGTTGATGGTTTTACACTGGTCCAGACCAGAGCAGAGAGGATTCATGGGTTTACACTGGTCCAGACCAGAGCAGAGAGGATTCATGGTCCGAACCAAGCGGATCAGGTGAAAATCCAATACATTTTTGAAATGCTAATGAAGCATTTAGCATTTTACTTTGGACTAGAGCAGAGGAAGATAAGATAAACCTTTATTAGTCTCACAGTGGAGAAATTTCAGTGTCATCGTTGCGCACATTACAGCAGAGAAAGGAAATAAGAGAACTCAGATTGCACACATCAAAGTCTATTATTTAAGGTAATAGACAATAAATTTAAGATAAAATAAAATAAAATAAAATGAGATAAACTCTGGGCTACAATTGCGCTTGGTTCGGAGTATTTACAGATGTCTATATTATACATTAGCAGCGGAGAATATGAAGATATGAATATGAGCAGAATAAACATCAGAAATAATATCAACAGGTAAAGTGACTTGAATGGGAGAATTATCAGATATGTAATAATACAGTAGTACTGATAACAGAAATGGTCCGAACCATGCGGCTACTCCACCTTGTGACCTGTCCTATCTATCTATCTATCTATCTATCTATCTATCCATCTATCTATCTATCCATCTATCTATCTATCTATCCATCTATCTATCTATCCATCTATCTATCTATCTATCTATCCATCTATCTATCTATCCATCTATCTATCTATCTATCCATCTATCTATCTATCCATCTATCTATCTATCTATCCATCTATCTATCTATCCATCTATCTATCTATCTATCCATCTATCTATCTATCTATCCATCTATCTATCTATCCATCTATCTATCTATCCATCTATCTATCTATCTATCTATATGAGCAGGCAAAATATATTGATATGTCATGTGTAAAAACTGAGAATTCATACAATAAACAATATTGATAATAAATGCCTTTTATAGAACATTCAAGGAGTTTAAGCCATAACGTGTCCGAAGACAGTCCAACCAAACTTCTAAAGGAGCAGGAGGCAGATTGTGTGTAACTACATTCATTATTTGGTCTGAACACAGATGTGAGAGGACATGATTTGACTCATAGAGCACACATGACTCAAAGTGAGAAAAATTTGTTTACAAAGAAGAGACATCGATGAACATGAATGAATCACTACGGACACTGCTTTAACGGATAAATCAGAAAAACATTACACTTTAAAGGCAAAGATCACTGTTATGTAATCTTAATCAGTATCAACTCACTATGATACTGAGGTAAATAGGAGGATTTTCTACTTCCGGGTGGATCATCAAGATTATTGATCCTCCAAATTGTCAATCATTCTGGTGATACGTGCTGGTCCAAAAAGACCAGAGAGTTTGTTCAAAAACTGGAGAGGGCGGTTCTTTCCTAAAATGTGGGGAAATATTCCAATGAACCTTAAAGGACTCCCAGAATTATGAAACGACTGGAGCTCCAGGTGTTCCCGTTCAAATCAATACAATTCTGAGAAAAAGTCCTCAAAAGATTTTTCATTTTCCACCAGTTTGATCAAAGGTAAGTCATTTATATGGTTTTTACCTTAACTCACAATTAAAGGAGCAGTATGTAAAAATCTGGACAAAAGTGGTACTGCAGCCTCTCCCACTCTCCCTGACTCAGGTTGCCAGATATGCAGACGAATCCAGCTGGGACCATAATAAT